TTCCCCACAAATTTCAGGGGAATGTGTGGGTATTAGAGCTCTCACCTCTAACCTCATCATTGAGAAAGATCAGTTTGCCATTTCACCTGCTATGTATTTGGAAGAAATCAGACTGACGCCTTGGTAGATGGGAATAACAAAGAACGGGGACCCCTGGAAAGTGCTTCATCATAAGGCATCATGGTATTAGAATCAGGTGTCAAGACACTGAAGAAAATGTTAAGCCCTAGATTCAGAATGGGCCAGCCTTGGCAGCACTGGGATCGGGAGTCAAATCCAAGTTTTGTGACTTGGCCATACACACATTCTGAACTCCAAATGCTGCAGCAGCCTGTGGCCACACCTCTGCATGAGCAGTTGCTTTCCCCCTTTCATTCTCTCTAACAACAGCAGCAACTTGCCAAACAATTTCCAGGTTACAGCCAACTAAGGGGAAAGGACTGGAAGGAGGACCCAGAACAGCTGCTGCCTCACAAAGTAGAAGGGAAGAGGCTGAGATGAGGACAGTGGACTGCCTCTGCTGCTGTCTTGCCAGAGGGCCAGAATGAGCCAGTAGCTATTCCCCTCTCACCGACCATCAGGGACAACAGAATCAACAGTACCCGCATCAGGCTATGGCAGGCAGGAAGAGAAATTCATCCTTTTACATGAAAATTGGTCCCAATCACCTACAAGAAAATGCAGAAGATCAGATGAGACCATCCGGAGGAAGGCATCTTACTCTCTCAAGCAACCTAATGGAGCTTGACACAATTTTTTGTTCACACAATGGAAATTTCAAGTAGTATTATTTTAGTACAAACTTGAGGCCATTATTCTGAAGAATATTCTAGTCTAAGATAGAAAGTTTCTAAAATTTGTACCTTTCTCATCATTTATCTAGTAAAATACTTTTAAAGTTGCATCTGAGTCATAAAATGCCCTGTCTTTTATTTTTATTGTGTTTAAACCTAATCAGTATCTCTATATTGAATTACAAAACACAGTTTCATTTTAGAAAATAAATAAATCATTAGATTAGTGAATTATGTGTCTACAATTCAAAAAAAGACATTCTGATGATTCAGACCAAACTGTAAACAGAACATAAAGTTATCTGTACTTCAAAAGCAATTACAATACCATAATTTATAATGTACCATTTGTTCTAAATGTATTTGAGTCTTCTCTGAATTCCTTCTTCATAGCACTGAAGATGCTTTTCTAGTCCTAGAAAGTATTATCAACATAAGCAGCAATAGTGGTTTTCTCACTGATGCAACTGTTAATGGATACAAAAAAGGAAACTTTTATTTTGAAAAGAGAAATTGAGTTAAAGTCTGTCAAAACTGCATATAAAATTTCATATTTTCACCTTCAGTTTTGTATTGCTGTCGGCAAATCTTAAACATTCCTTGAAACATCGGACTCTCAGCATTTGAAAATCATACGTTTTTATCATGCAACTTGGTCACTCCTTAACATGTCACTGTTCTCTTGGCAAACATTTTACTACTTTAGCTGCAGACAAGGAGCAACTGAAACAACTTAGAATAACTTTAAAAGAATTTTATGTTCTTCTAATAATGAAACCATCTCAGTGTAAATTAGTGTTCAGGACAAATTAAAATGCCTGGTGATCATTGTAATTTATGAAAATTGCTCACACCTTAAGGTAATTTTTGCAACCAGGAATTGCTGGAGTTTAGAAATTACTCAGGAATAACCTCTTTTGTCTCTACAGACAGCTGAAAGCATATGTCCCTTACAAAGGTGCTAATTTGCAAGAGATCAAATGGGTTTACAACAACTTTTCCATGTGAAAAGGTAAAAAACTATCATGAGCATATAAGAATCCATGTTCACGAAGTATACTTCTTACTGTTACAAAAGTAATACAAAATGACACATGAAAATTATCTGGAACATTTTTTTTTTTCTTCTTTATACCCAGTCTTTTCTTGTAAAGTGTGTCTCTCTGCCTTCTCAGCCTTCCAACTATAAAAGTATTACACTGCTAATGGTGTTGTATTATAGAAAACATAATAGAATTTTATAATTTTCAAAGCCCCTTTCCTCCTCTCAACTTTGGTTTTTGACCTATAGTCTTGAGTTTTTAAAAATCAATGCTTTAAACAAGGAAATACAAATTATGCAGACAAATTTTCTGTTTAGCTGAACCATTCTTTTTTTCATACAGATTTTGTCCTTTCAGACACATGAATGAATGGATAAGACTGAGGACTGTATTGAAATACTTCTTAATATCCAGCTGGAATTAATTCTGCAGAGTAGCTTTGACTATCAGTGCAACAACACTGGAAAGGCTGTCCTCTGGGGAGTGAAGTCTGCTTTGTTTAGAAAAGTTCATACAAAACAACAATGGAGGGTACTAAAGACTTAGAAACTGAGAAAACGGTGAACTAAGAAAGGCATGGTGGGGTTTTGGCAGCAGGGGAGGGGGCTACAGCAGTGGCCCCTCTGAGAAGCTTCTCAAAGCTCTCCTGGCTCCAAGTCAGCTCCACCTCTGCACCAAAGCCGAGCCAATTAGTGACGGTGGTTGCACCTCTGTGATAACGTATTTAAGAAGGAGAACCTGAGAGGTGGCTGGGACTTGTAAGGAGGAATTACGAGAAGGACACTTATGTGAACACCCAGGTCAATGGCAGGAAGGAGAAGGAAGGGGGAGGTGTGCTGGAACAGAGACCCCTGTATCCCGTGGTGAGACGGCAGGGCCACCCCCTGCCACCCATGGAGGTCCACAGCAGAGCAGAGGCCGACCTGAAGCCTGTGGAGGTGCCCACACCACAGCAGGTGTCTGAGCTTAAAGGAAGCCGGGACTCTGAGGGGAGAAGCGGCCCCCACTGTTGTGGTTCAGTGCTGGGAGGGCTGCAACACGCGGGGGTGACCCACGCAGGAGCAGCAGGGGAATGGCTGCAGCCTGTGGGGAGGACTCACGCCAGAGACAAGGTTCGTGGAGGACTGTCTGCAGTGAGAGGGCAGCCACATGGAGCAGGGGAGGAGTGTGCAGTGTTCACCCCACCTCCTGAGAAGGAAGGAGCGGCGAGCTGACTGTAACCCCCATCCCCTGCCCCCTGTGCTGCTGGGGGAGAAGGGAGAGAGATCAGGAGCTGAGCTGAGCCCGGGAAGAAGGGATGGGTAGCGGGAGATGGTTTTGGATGTGGTGGTGCTTCTCACTGTCCCACCTTGTCTGTTAAGTGTTATCCTTGTTAGTGTTTGAATTAAATTGATGTTCTTTCCTTCCTTCCCCTAAGGAGTCTGCCTTTTGATTGTGACTGTAATGGGTGAGTCACCCCTCCCTGTCCTTATCTGGATTCCTGTGCCTTTCACTTCATTTTCTCCTTCCCAGTCCTCTGGGGGGGAAGGGGTGAGTGAACAGCTGTGTGGTGCTCAGTTGTCCTCTGGGCTCAAACCTCAACAAATGGTTATCAGCTACTTTATCGTTTTCTTTCTCATTAAACTGGACTGTGACCCTGATTGATCCAGCTACATATGAAATTTATACGGGATTTACTGATGACCATTTGTTGTCAGGGCCTCAGCAAACTTTCAGAGAGCAGAGGCATTGTGTCTCCCAATGATTCAAAGGATTGGAATTTCTAGGTAATTCTCTCAAATTACTGTCAGACATATTAATGTAATTTCTTTTGTTTAAATCCTGATGGTCTCAGTGTCAGGTCTCAGTTGACATATATGAAAGCATTAACTTTTAATTATAGGTCAAGATCCATTAAAGGAGCTAAGACATGTCTGAACTATTGCAAACTATGTCTCATCTTTCTGTTCCCTAAACATCTCTGTGACTGTACTATTACCTCATTCCCTTTCATGCTGTCAGTTGTCTGGCAATATAAAATTAAAAGTAAAAAGTACTGGTATACAGCATAGTAATCCACTAAAAATTGAAGCCACAAAGCATTGCATATGAACGCAGCAGCCACGTAAACTTCAAAAAACACTGCATTTACAGGGAGCCTTACCTCCATTTCCATGGAATAAATGGCATTTTACACTTTCACGCCATTTAGTTCTCAATCTCTCTTTTGCCAAGCCAAGCAGTTATTTTTGTGAATCATTCCTAAATCATTTATAACCATGCCACTGCACCACTGACAACAGCATCTTTGAAGACAGGTAGGGATTATTAATTCACTGTGGATTTTATAAGCAGTTTTATCCTCTTTCCATACACATCTGTTAAAAATCATAGAGGTGAAAATGAAGCTGCTAGTCAGAAAGACAAAAAATTGGGGTAACAAACCCTTTGGTTTCACATGAAGGACTAAAAAGTTACTTAGCAGTAATTCTGGGCAGTGCAAAAAAAACCAAAAAAAAACAAACAAAAAAAAACACAAAAAAAACAACCAATCACCACCAACAACAAAACAAACAAGCAAACAAACAAACAAACAAAAAAAAAAACACAAAGAAAAACAAAAAGCTACCATTAATTTTTAATGTGAACATTAGGGTTTTAGGGTTCCTGAAATGCATCTACCAGGGGGGTGAGATCTGAGTGCACCTGAAGACCCAGACCTCCAGTAAACAGTGCCCACTGCTCCATTAAGCCACCCTTAGTGACACAGGGAAGGGGAAAAATCGTAACTTTTTGCCTCATTTTTAGCTCTCCATCAAAAGGCACAATTGCTGGAAGAAATTAAAAAAAAAAAAAAAAAAAAAAAAAAAAAAAGGGGGGGTGGGGACTTCCCTACCCCAAGAAAAGCCTGCATGTATCTATACAGACCGATATAAACTTTAGGACTGGAAACGCCCCGGGGGGGCCGCGTTTCGGCCGGGCAGCGGTGAGGCAACTGCCGCCGGGCCCCCGTTTCCGACCGTTAACGGGGTCTGTTGGGCCCCGGGCGGCGGCCAAGGGCAGATCCCCAAGCGGGGCGGCGGCAGAGATCACCCTGCGACGGGGAAGGGGCCGGCTCCCTCTCCTCCGGAGCCGCTGACCCGGGGCCCGGCTCGGCGGAGCCCCCCGGCTGCCGGCGCGGCGCGGTAACGATGCAGCGGGCGGGGGAACGGCCGCCGGGTCGCCGCGGGGCTCGCCCCGCCTCACGGCCGCCGCCCCCCCCGCCCCCGCTCTCAGCCCCCGGCGGCCGGCACGGGGAGCCGCCCGCGGCGCATGCGCGGCGGCGTCGCCTGCTCCGCCGGGCGGGCAGCGGAGAGGCGGGGGGCAGCGCGGCGGCCGGTACTGCTGCTCGCATACCGGCGGAGCCTCGCCTCGGGCGAACGCGGTGAGTGCGCCCGGTGTCGTGTCGTGTCGTGCCCCGTCCCGGGAGCGGAGCGGGTAGCCGTGCCGTTGGGGAGGGTCGGGGCTGGCAGGCGGTGCCCCCCTCGCCTACCTGTGGGGGCACCCGCAGACGCAGGCGCTGCCGCCCCCCCTCGCCCCCCGGGCGGGTCAGGGGTCCGCGGGGTGTCCCGGGGCGGGGACGGGGCTGCCCGGAACGGGGCCGCGTGTGAGAGGGGCCCGGCGGAGGGGTGAGCGGGCGGAGCGGGGCGCGCTTGGCGCTGGCCGGCGGCTGTGCGTGGGGCGGGGGTCCCGAGTGGGGGTGGGAGGCGGCAGATCACGGCGGGGCGGCTCTCGGAGGGGGGAAAGGGTGAAACGTACCCGGCCGCCCTCCTCCCCTTGCCGGGCTCCGGCGGCCGCTGGCGCTGGCGGAGCCGCCCGGAAAACTTCTCTCGGGGGGTTCGTGCCATTTCCAGTTAAGCCGGGGAAGAAAATGTCTCGACTGTATTTAACAAAGGAAAAATCACGTGAACTTTCTTTTTGAAAGAGGCTAATGACTGTCCCCAAAATAGGCAGCTAATCGATTTTTCTCTTAAGTTGTTTTTTTTTTAAAAAAAACCACAACAAAACCGCAAAATAAAACCACAGCCATCTGAAGCTTTCATATTCCTGTTAAAACTTTTTTCAACTTTTGGCAGGGTCATCCAAAGGCTCATCTGTATTAGATCTGCAGTAGCCAAGGCAGTCACTGCAGCTGAAGCTTTAAGATGCTGAGTACGGGTATTGAGTGTTGAGGCTATGAGCCTGATTCTCCAGGGGGCTGGTGGACCCCCCCGAGGCCCAAGGCTGGCAAGGGAACAGTTTATTCATACCCACATGAAACAGAAGGGGTGCAGGGAGCCTCGGTGTCAGCACAGTTGGAACTGGGATTGGATGTTGCATCGGTTGAGGGGTGAAAGAGCAAACCGTGGCTAAGCTTGTTGGGAACAAAACAGAGGAGAGTGGAGCCAGTGAGTAAAGGGAAGAAGAGTAGGAGCAAATGAAGACAGTTTAAAGAATTTAAAGTTTTCATAACCCCGTTGTCACAGATGACTCTGGGGAGAGAAGAGGGACAGTTATGTGGATGTTGGTGTTCTAGGTTAAAATCAACACCTTAAATTTATTATTACTATAGGCTAGTGTTGTCACTGAAAAAAACCCAACAGCTGTGCTTTTTCAGCAGCCTTGCTGCTCATTGCCACCTTCTGTACCACCTTGTCCCCATGCTGCACCATTGTTTATACAGCAGTGGGTTCAGGTGCCATGGAGCATTACTTACAGATTCACACTAACTTTTAAACATTTTTTGTGATTAACCTAGTTAGTACTCGTGTCTGATTCTCTGCACTGCCATAGGGAGGCTTATGCTAACTCCTGGAAAGATGTGTGATAGGGAAGGAAAGAGTTTATTTTTTTGTATGTAAATCAATAGGTATGTATGTAAAAGCACTGGGGTTTTTATGTATGTATGTGTATGTATACACATAGGCACGCACACACCTGTGTAAAGGGATTGTGCAACTGCGATGTTGAACATTTTGGATCATGTGTTGAACAGGGGGAGTGCCACTGATAAAGCAGGTGTGGGGAAGGTTTACAAGTGTGAGAGGTGACGAGCAGTCCGAGTGGATGTATCCAGTAAGGGTGAGTTTGCAAGAGTAGTTCTTGCTGGACCAGGGGAGTGAGATTAGAAGCCAGAGAAGAGGGGATGGGGAATTTCTGTGTGAGTACTGCATGAAAACAGGGGAGTGAGACTTTTTACTTATCTGTTCAGCTATCTCACTTCAGCCTCTTTTGGACAAGAAAATTTTATTTTCCAGAACAGATTAGGATAGAGCCTGGGATTCCTGAGTGTCTCTGTTTTCTTGGAATTAGCAAACATCAGGAAATCCACAGGCAAAACGTGGATTATCCTTTTCTCACACAAGTTCATCCAGAAATTTGCATCCAGCTAATGCTGCAGGATAACATATTGGCTCAAACAGCAAAACATTGCATCTGGTTATAACATATATAGGTGTTGACATTATAATTTGGTGACACCAGTTTTCTTTTGTTAGAAGTGGATAGTTACACAGAGTAACTAACTATACAAATATTGTCATATTGTCATTGCCAGAAGCACTCACAAATGAAAAAGAGGAGAGCTGAAGTTTTTTAGTTAGCCTCTTTGTACATCTAGATTGAACTAAGGTTTTTTATTCAGCAATAGCATAGTTTGTTGCGTTAAAAAAATCCTGTTATGCTCAAGGTATTAAAGAGATGGAGTATTTTGGTTTTATACTCTTTACTTTGTTTGTGTGATATCAAGACATTTTCTGAACGTGTCTCAAATCTGCATTCAAATTCTCCTTTGACTAGATAATTACAAATTTCCTTATGTCTTCTGTTGTGCTTATCACCTTAATAGCTCAATACTCGACAAATCCCCTGCCTTAATTGACAAAACTCTCTTAAGACAATGAAATAATCATCCTCCCACTCCACATGAAGAATTAAAGATAAAACTGTGAAGACCAAATCTGGTCTAGGTAGGGTCTGATTTTTTTTCAGGGCATTGAGTTCAGTGTCCTGGTTTATATTAAGTGCACAGGTGCAAGTAAATTGAATATCTGTTCTAAGCCTATGCTGCTTTTGCAAATCAAGTACTCAGATTTTGGGAGAGGCACGCCTAAAATAAAATACGTGTAGTGACTGTCCACACTGAAACTATTTTTTAGTAATTTATGTAGACTCATGAATGAATTCTGTGACAAAAACAGGGATAAAATGTACTTCAGGACAGTGCTAATGTATTTTAGAACACAGCATTGAGAACCATTTCTGTTTACGGTGTTACTTTAAACAGCTTCCTTTTCCTGTGATACTCTTTTCCATCATTTTGTCCTGCCTACCTCTGTGACATCCCTCACTTGTGATAGCGTGACTGTTTCCATATCCATCTGATGAGGTGGATCACAGAATTAATCAGGTTGAAAAAAATAAATATATCTGACTTACTTTTGATCCTTACCTGGCTCTTATAAACATCTACATGGGCCAGGGAACAAGAGATGTGGTTGATAGCACACACCCTTCAGTATGAATGCTGGGAAGAACCAAAGCCATTTTGCCCCTTCCCTCTTCCATTAATCCCATAAATCTTACATGCTTAATTTCTTCCCATTTACTCAACAAACAACACCTGGTTCCTGTAGGCAAGAATTTTATTTTCTTGCACCACCCCGTTAAGAGCTTTTGTTTTCAGTTTCTTAGCTCAGTTCTGAACTTCTTTGCTGCTTTTCCTCCTGCTCTTTCATGAAGTCCTATCAGCTGTGTTTCCAGGATGCTGTCTTTCTCTGGCTCATGTTTCTTTAATGTTTTTTTTTTGCTTCAGCCTCCAAAGACAATCTACTTTCTTTCCCCCATCCCTTGCTTCCTCTCCTCTTCCACATTAGAAACAAAAGCACTTGCAGTGTGCAGTAGAGAACAATACAGAACTGGTGAGGGAGTAGACTGAATGACCTAATGTCTAATATCTGTTCTCCTGCCAGCTATTTTTGTTTGAGTTCAGATGTTGGTAACTATTTGACCTTTTAAAATCTAATCTGACAATACCCAGCCCTTTCCTTGTTTACCTTTGCTTTGTTTACTGATTCTTGTTAAGTAAAATTTTATATACACTTGTGAGGTCTGAAATACCCTTAGCCCATTTTATTGTTGCCAACAGTTTTGATGGTACTGATTATCAAGTGATCTGTGTTTTAATCAAGGTTGCTGAATACCATTATTAAAATAGCTACATTTCAAAAGCAAAGCCTATCTTCATACTGGAAGTTAAGGAAATTGCATACTAACCACCTAAAATCATACTGTGTGTTTTGGCTTGCTAAAGAAACATATTTGGAAGCTATTTTATGCATGTAAAATCAGACAAGAAGCATATTTGCACAGCCCAACATATTGATGTTAGCATCCAGGGCAAAGACTCCCGGACAGTGTAGTGGCACAAGAAGTGTTGCCTGTTTTCAAACTGAGAATGCTACTTTGTGTAAATTTGGGGTGGGGGTGGGGTGTGTTTGAGAGTAGATGTCTCTACATAGGGGAGAGACAGACTATCCTGCAATTGCATCTTAAAAGTTGGAGATCACTTGCATTTTATACATTACACTGTGCTATGTACCTGCTCAGTGGAGCGTTTCTTTTAAAGCATTTGAGTCAACCATCTCATGTTGCTTCTGAAATGACTTTTTGAAATTTGGCATCTTACATTTTAAGATCACACACTCAAAATGCTTTCAGTTTTTCAGTGTAGTGGTCAGTTTGCACCAATATGATTACTCCAACAGTGGTCAGATTAAAGTGATACCAAAATCCAGGGAGAGACCATGTGAAAGGTAGTATTGGAATAGTTTATTGTAGGTAATACTTAATCCTGATGAAACATTCATTTTGTTGCCTGAAACTGCAGAACTTATGTGTTTGCCAGAAAACACAGAAACTGCAGAACTTCTGTGTTTGTGGTAGGTGAGATTTTTTTTGTTTAAGCCAAGATGCTATACCCTATTGTTGTAATTCTGGATGTTCATGTTTTGCTGAGCTCTTTGTCTTCCTGTAGCATATGAGTGAATGCCATGGACTGTTTTTAAGATTCCGCTTTACAACAATTCCTTATTAAATCCTTCTAGCTAAATTAACTGTTTAATATAACTGTCTAAACTGTAATATTGATTACAATTAGCTGTATTCCTAAATGTTTACTACTCAGAATTGAAGAATTATCCCTTTTTGGCTTAAAAAGTGTGAATTTGTTAGCTCACTGGTGTGAGGCAGTTTATGGGAATGCTACCAGGAAAATTCAGTAGTGGCTTCATCAGACACGTGAACTTTTGCACCTGCCTGTCCCTCCAGGTTTATCAGTGTGGTGTTTACTGACCTTGTGTGCATTCTTTAGCTTTTATTTGCAGAGTATTACTCTTCAAGCTGTTT